CTCTGATGGAGCAGGAGAAATGTGGGGTGCAGAACTCAAATCTAGTAAGAAGACCAGACTTAATGGCCTGAATGAGACTGGAGGAACTCCGGAAAGCATGGCCCCTGGATTCTCTATCAGCCCAGAACTAAAACAGTTTCCGAGGCCAACTCTTCAGACAGGGATTGGACTAGACTGTGGGACATAAAGGGGTACTTTTGAGAAGTGTGCCTCAGCTCAGGAAGGTACAAGAGACTAAACGGGCAGCTTCTGTCCAGACGTGGATGAGAAGGCAGAGAGGGTTAGGAGCTGGTTGAATGGACATGGGGAATCCGGGGTGGAAAGGAGGAATGTGCTGTCACAATATGGAGAGAGCAGTTAGGGTCACATAACAATGTATATATAAATTTTTGTATGGGAGACTAACTTGAAATGTAAACTTCATCTAAACTACAACAATAAAAAAAAATTTTTAAACTATTTTTATGGTTTTCTCTCTGTGTTTAATCTTTTTATTACAGTTAGATATTTCAAATATGTAGAAAAGTACAAAGAATAGTATAACAAATACTAACATAACCACTGCCCAGAAAAAACCCAAACCTGTTACCATCGAGTCAATTCCAACTCATAGTTACCCTATAGGACAGAGTAGAACTGCCACATAGGATTTCCAAGGAGCCGTTGGTGGACTCGAACTGCTGAACTTTTGGTGTATATTTTTCTTCTTCATGGTTTTATACTTCTACCATATATGTATGCTTCATAAATAATGTATATAATTGTTTATTAATTTGAAACTCACATAAAAATTATATCTGCAATAATTCATATTCATACAAATAATTCTGCAACTTAGAATTATAAAATTCTCAGATCTTTCCATGTTGATACATTTTGATATCATATCCATGTAGATCAAGTTTTTCATTGTAATTCCTTTATGGGATTTTGTTGTATGATTATACCACAACTTATCAACCAATTCCCCCATTGATACTCATTTGGTCATTCATTATTTCACTATTATAAGCAAAACAGTAGTATATATGCATATATATATGTGTGTGTGTGTGTGTGTGTATGAATATTTACTATATATATATGTATACACACACACACACACACACACACATAAATCCTTATAAACATCTTGGCCTTAAAACAAAATTCAGTCCTTACTATTTAGTGAATATCGTATTTATTCCTATGAGTTGGAATCAACTCGACAGCACACAACAACAATGATCCCTTTGATAAAGAACATTATATTAAATCAGAGAAAGTAGTTTTATATTTAATCATTAAGTTTTAGCATCCTAACCCGTATTAGTAAAGATGTGCGGTTGCAGTAAATGCTTTTTTCTTATCACGTCTTTTCCTTTTTTTCCTCTCCCATATTTTTCTCATTTCTTCTCTCCATGTCCTTGATATATCCTCTTTTTTCTTCCTTTTTTTTGCTAAGTTTTTTTCTCCTAACTCAAAAGCATGAGCCGACAAGGAAGACTAATAATAAGAAAGTACTTAATGACTTTATACAAAAATAAAGTTTATTGCAAAATATGTAATATAGCTGTAACTTAAATTTGGCCATATATTTTTGAATGCTATTTATTTTACCCTAGGCCTCAGAAGCACCAGAAGAACCTGAAGAACATAAAGAGCATGTTATTGAAGACATATATGTTTATAAACCCCCTGTCTCTAAACCATGGGTTTCTTTGGGCAGTGAAAAAGAAATTGAGGAACAATCAGTTAAAGAATCTACAAAGCAGGTCAGAGGCTTAAATATGATCTCCAGTCATAACCTACCTACTTGTAGCTAAAAAACAGTTATTCCTGAGGGTTTCAGAATAACTTTGAAAATTGTATGTTTGCTGTGGGGATATGATTCTTTTTGATATAAAAATGGCCATTGTCTTAGGTGAGGTTCCCAGAAGCAGGCCCTGAGAGAAGGATTTGTGTGCCCCATACAAGAATGGGAAAGGCAGCAGGACAGGGGAGTAGAGGGAGCCCTGCAAGGGTGGAGTCTCAGATAGAAGTCCAGCAGAGGGAAGGCTTCTGCCTGAACCACAGGTGAACTCTGGATTATAAATTACACCTCATAGTTACCCCAAACCGAGGCAAGGAAGCAGGACTTACATGTGCCAGCTGGTCATGGGTCAAGAAGTAAACTGCCAGTCACTCCCTGCTCTTTGTACCTGCAGGCAAACTATTTTTCATAGCCCTAGACCAGCCTCCAAAGAGGAGCAGTGGTTCTGGCCACTGGAATCAAAAGTACATGTTGCTGGAGGAGCACACAGAAAGTGTACAGAGGGATCTGAGAGGGCCTGGGCTGAGCACCAACATTGTCTACTACACATCCATTTTTCTCCAGGGACTTGGTTATGTTACCTTTACTGCTTATATGTGTTTCAGATTACATATATGATATCTCGGAAACGAAGTGCATTTGGAGCACCCATTAAGTTCAGTGACCATAATGCTTCCAGTATAAAAGATGCCTATATTGAATGTACAGCCTACCCAGATAAAAACTTTACCGTTAAACAACTTGAGAAAGATGTTGGCATGCAAGTTGTCCCCAAAGTCAATGACATAAGTACTCAGACAAAATGGTAAGTGTGCAATGAGTTGACGTATTTTGAAAGCCAATTACAGTAAAATCTACAGTAAAAACTTCCATGAATATTTTGAGAGCTCTTTAGAATAAACAGAAATAGATTGACAATGATGACAAAACTCCACAGAGTAGTTCAGTTCTCTCATTTGAAATATTACAATTGCCTTATAACTAATTTTCCTTTCCAACCCAGTATGTGCTCAAATAACATGGGATTATGTTACTTCATTGCTTAAATCTCTCCTTTGGCTCTCCATCACTTACAGAAATATATCTATACCCCTTAGGGTGACATACAAGGTCTTCCTTCCTCTGTGACCCAGCATTGACTGCCTCTCCAGCCTCATCGTCCCCTGTTCCCAGAAAAGTGCTCAGCGCTCTAGCCAGATGAGCTGCTTCCAATTCCAATAAACTTCCTCTTCCACATCTTCCTGCCTTTGCCTATGCTGTTCCTCCGCATAAAATGCCCTTCACTGCCTTGTCTACCTTTTTTCATCCTTTAAAATCTATTTCAGTGCTCTTTCCTCTGTGAAAATTTCTTGGAGCCACCAGGTAGAGCTGATCACTCCTTCCTCTAGGTCCCCTCTAGATCTTAGAGGTATTTTGATCGTAGGACTCATGACCCATATTGTGCTCCTCTGTTTATTTATCATCTGCCCTAGACCCAAAGTACCTTGAGGGTACAAACCATATCACTTCCACACAGCAAGCTCTTAATTAAAATTTATCCAATGAATGAATTGCCGTGAAATGCATTGCTGAGGGAGCGTTCTGTGGACTTAAGCTAGCCTTTGAATATTGTATAAATTTGAAGACATATTAGCTAAGCCATGCATCTTTTAAGAATTTTTTAAAATTTATTTTTAACTAATTTCAGATTTACAGAAGATAAGCCATGAATTTTGAATATGATTTATAAACATAGAGAAAGGGAAAACAGCCCAGATTGAGGGGGGAAAAAAAAAAAAGACCTGAACAATTCAAGGGAGTGAGAAGAACAGTTTGTGTGGGACCACAAGGAGAGGATAGAATGGAGGAAGTATTACAGGGTAGACAGAGAAGTGGGTTCTCTGTGGCAGACCGTGAGGAACTTTGGCGAGTTTTGAAGCAAGGGAGAGGCAGGATGGAAAGGCTTTTAAAATAAGATGAGCCAGGCAGTATGGATTGGAGAAGAGAGAAGAGAAAGCCTGGAGATGAGGAGATGGCCCAGGTAGGAGCATGTTGTAATTAAACCAGGTAAAACGTTTACTTTAATGTCTACAGTAAGGTGGTAGAAGTACACAAATTATGTTGATGAGAAATACAAATAGGCTGAATATCAATATCAGTTGTCTAGGGTAAAGAAAAATATAATATTCAATGAATAAAATAAAAAATCATATCCTAATATTATTGCCACTGAGCAAACCTTTGAACTGTGATGACCTATATTTACTTTTATTTGATCTAATTTTTGGTATGCGATCTTCTTTTAATATATTAGGACATATCCCAAAAATGCTAGTACACAATATTATCCAAGAGAATTCTCAGAAGAGGAAAAAGAGACACTCGGACAATCCAAATCTTTGACTGATTTTCTTAACAACATGTCTGTAAGGTAAAAATTGTATATTAAAAAAATATATAAAACGTGTATATTTCCTTGTAATAAGAAGTCTTAATAAACAATTACGTATATGGTGTCTAGATAGAAATTATGGAGACAATTATCAGATATTCATGAGCATATGACACACTCTACAGAGGCTTCGTCTTTCTTTCCTAAGCAACATCCTAGACCTCCCAACCTAGGGCCACACCAAATGCAATGTGAACCTGCAAGAGTATATACAGGCAAGTGTGGAAGGATGTTATCCTAATTGCAAATTAACGATTATTTTGTATGTACTATGGTTTCTTTTATTTGAGTGCTCTCTTCACTTACCTTTTTAGCTTGGATAACTCATCATTGACTTTTATAGAATGACAAGGATGAGGATGTTGTAAATGTTGAGGATGACCACGATGATGATGATGATAAGAATTTGCAAACAGTATCTTTGTAAATGAGAACCTGAACTCAATTCAGCTGTACTTTTTGATATCTTGCCCTTATCACTAATTCCTGTGTTGCTGTCACTCTTACTGGCTCTGAAAAAGAGGTGTCTTCAAGACTTCTCTACACATACTGGTACTGGGACCCTCGACAGAGCCATGGGGCTTCTAAACTAGAGGACAAGTTCTCATCAAGCTAATCTCAGAGTTCAGAGAGGAGGAACCAATGGTGTACTAGTCTGCCAATTATACCCAATAGTTGGTTTCCATTTTTTCCCAAAATTAAAAATTCAGTGGTCAAATTCATACATAGCCCAAGGTAAGCTTTTTTTTTAAGAAAACATCATTAGTTCTTTCAGACTGGATTAAATATCCTGAAAACTCCAGCAACTCTCAAAAGTTGTTCACTATGTCTAGAGATAATCTGGTTCAAAATTGTATTAATGATTCAAAGAGAGTGCATTATTTGTCATTAACTCACAAGAAGGATGCCATGTTTTTTTCCTGTGTGGGCAATGAAAAAGCAACAAGGAAACCTACGGTTTCTTTTTCCCCATATGAAAATGAAAAATAAAAACCAAACCCATTGGTGTGGAGTCAATCCTGACAAAACTAAGTAGTCATTAAAAGTTTTCCTGATAAAAGCATTAACAATGAGAAGTCTGTTTATGTACTATCTATTTCAAGGGAAAACTAGACCTTTAAGAAATAAAAATGTTTAAAATAAATAGCTTTGAGTCAATTCTCAATTATCCACATTGTGTATTATTTTTAGACCTGAGCTTTTATTCTTCCTTTTCAATTACCACGTTTTTAAAGAAAGGAACAGTGAACTGCTTTGTAATTCCCTGCTAAGATGTGGAAAGAAGCCAGAACTATAAGAAGGAAAATTGGCACAGGAATTATAATACCATTGACCAAGATAAATAAGGAACCCACATTCGCATCACTGCCATACTTGTCAACTTTAAAACTGTTTAAGGTTTATTTAATTTTTAGAAATTACTATAAACCTGGTTTTGTTCTGGAAGAGAGGCTTTAATTCTAAAGATCTGTCTCATTGAATTTTATCCAAAACAAACCAAAAGGAACCATTATTTGCTAAAGAAGGAAATGATTTGAAAGGAGAGAGAGAAGCTTCAAGGGCATTTGCAAGCAACTGAGAAAATGTCATTTTGTGGTTAAAAAGAATTGATATACATGGGCTTTAACTCAGACAACACCTTCTCCAGCCTCCAATTCCTCATTCTCAGGAACCACATGGTAGAGTCAGGGAAATCAAGAAACAGGAAACCTTCACTTCTCCCTTGTGAATTACTTCCCCATTCTGGCTGAGAGGGAAGAGTTTGGAGAGACTAAAGTTCCTGTCTTTAAGGTCTCTCTTGAGAAATCCTTTCTTATTCAGGCTGAAACATAAAGAAATAAGATTTTGGAAAGGCTAACTAATGTTTTACCTGAAACTGCGTTTAAACCTTGAAGCTCGTTTTGAACAGGGCTTTTAAATTTTAATATGCACATGAACCACCTGGGGATCTTGTGAAAATGCAGGTTCTAACTAAGTAGAACTGGGGTGGGGCCCAAGACTCTGCATTGCTTACAAACTTCTGGTCATGCTAAAACTGCTAGTTCTTGGAGCACACTTTAAGTAGCAAGGTCCTAGAAAATGCTTCGATTTTCTGTTTTGAAAGATGGAATACAAGAAGAATTTAACCAAAACAGTATTCAGTTAAGCAGTAAATGGTGGTCATTAATTTTTAATGGCAAGAGGATCAAATGATACCTTTGTTTAATTTTTTAAGAGTATCTATTATGTTTTTTTGGTGTTTATATTTAACTGTCCAAATAAAGTTCTTTTTCTTATTTTAAGATGTTCATAACTGAGAACCCCTCATTTATCTTGCCATACTTATTTAAAAAAAAAAAAAAAGATATTTGGACTTTGGATCATTAGGGTAAAACCTTGGGTGGCATTTTAATTGTGGGAAAGCTCTTAAGAAGTCTTAGGAATGAGCTGAGCTTTCAAATTCAAGCATATAAAGGGACAGTAAATATTACAGTAACTATCTTAAAACAGGAACCTATGAAATCAGGATCCCTAGACTATTAAAAGATGAGGCTAGGGCTCAGATAATTTCTTAAAGGAGCAATATTAGCATTTTTAGCAGGATAATTCTTTATTTTAGGGACTGTCCCATACATTCAGAAGTTTAGCAATAGAATTAGACACAGTAGCACCTCCCAGGCATTGTGACAACCAACCCCCTCCCCCACATTTCTAAACTGCAAATCTCCCCTGGTTGGGAACTTCTTATTTGTTGTTTTGAATTATATGTTTTATATGTGTGTGTACACACACACACATATATATATGCATATATGCATGTATGCGTGTGTGTACTTATATAAGGCCACTGGGTGGCACAAATGGTTTACACTCGACTACTAACCTAAAGGTTGATGGTTCAAACCCACTCAGTGACATCATGGAAGAAAGGCCTGGAAATCTGTTTCCATAAAGATTATAGCCAAGAAAATCCTATGGAGCTCAGTTCTACTCTGTAACACATGGGGTCGCCGTGAGTCAGTGTTGAGTTGGCAGCAATGGGTTTGTGTGTGTGTGTGTGTGTGTGTATATATATGTGTGTGTATATATATATACACACACATATGGTATGTATATGTATTTGAGCTGCCCTCATTTAGTATAAGTAATCATTTAGTACCAAATAAACCAAACAAAAAAAAAAAACCATTGCCATCAAGTCAATTCCGGTTCATAGTGACCCTATAGGGCAGAGTAGAATTGCCCCATAGGGTTTTCACGGAACACCTAGTGGATTTGAACTGCCAACCTTTTGGTTGGCAGCTAAACTCTTAACCACTATGCCAACAGGGTTTCCTAGTGCCAAGTACACCTAAGAAAATTGACTTTTGTGTCAGTTTGGGTTTTCTAGGAAGCAAATACAGAAATAGAGTTAGAAGTAGAGGTTTACTGAGGGTTACACTATGAAAAATAAAGGCGGAGGAAGCAGAGTTAATCAGGTAGAGCTTCAGACAAAGTCTCAGCCAACTCAAAGGGACTCCAGAGCAAGATGACCTGTTGAGAAGTCCTACAGAAGGCAGTGCAGGCCAAGCCCTGGCATCCCTTCCCCCATTGCTCAAATATCGACCTGGGAAGAGTGTGGCCTCAGTTTGGAAACAGAGGCAGATGGTGAAGGTGCTGGAGGCTGTCAGCTAAGCACTCCTTGCAGCTAAACGGCGAGTTTTTTTCTTGAAACAAGTTCTGTGTAGCACACCGCCATGAATTTTTTCTCCTCTTTAAGTCATTTATTTGGAATGAAATTAATCATTAGTTACTAAATATAATTGAGAGCAATTTTTCTTTCAGTGTAAATGAAGTGAGAGGAGCTTTTGAAATAGTCATATCATTGACGGCTAAAATCCAACATCTTAATTGTTTTTCTTTTACAAAAATAGTGTTGAAATAGCCCTGCAACAAAATGAAATCATGAACGCATTTATTGATGACTGGAAATGCCTGGCAGAAGAAGAAGGCACCTTTGGGGACAAGACTGATACCCACCTGAAAGAGTACCAGTCCTTTACTGACCTTCATAATCTAACAGAGAAAACTATTACTTGCGTCTCATGGCATCCAACTATCAACGGTGAGACTGAAATGACTGGGATTCCCTTTTCTGATAGTATTGAAATTGTCTATTTTTTTATATGTAAAATTGTAAACTCACTCAATTTCAAGAAAATAACTTCCATTTGCTGAGTGCCAGGCATCTAGCAATCACTTTCCACACTATCTCTCAGCTATGTGTTCTCCCAGCAATCCTGTAGGATACGAATTATTTCTCCATTTTGCAAGGAGAGGACTGAAGCTTAACTCAGGGAGGCTTTGTATGGACATACACTTTCATATCTCTTCGGTAAATACCTAGGAGTGAAATGGCTGGGTCATATGGTAGGTAAATATAGGGTGACCAGCTATCCTGGTTTGCTTGGGACTGAGGGGGTACCCAAGACTGAGGGCATTTCTGGGGCTCAGAAATTTCCATTTTAAAATCAGGAAAGTCCTGGGCAAACTGGGAAGAAATGGTTACCTAGGTGTATGTTTAACAATTGAAAAAACTACTAAACAGTTTTCCAAAATGGCTGTATCATTTTACATTCCCATGAGCAATAAATGAGAGTTTCAGTTGTTCCACATCCTCCCCAACACTTGGTATGATTAGTCTCTTTAATTTTAACCATTCTCATAGGTGTATAGAAGTATCTCATTGTCGCCCTGGTGGCACAATGTTTAAGTGCTCGGCTGCTAATGGAAAGGTCAGCAGTTCGAACCCACCAGCCACTCTGCAGGAGAAAGATGTGGCAGTCTGCTTTCGTAAAGATTACGGACTTGGAAACCCTATGGGGCAGTTCTACTCTGTCCTATAGGGTCACTACAAGTAGGAATCAACTCGAAGGCAATGGGTAATCACTAATGGAATCGACTCCGTGGTCACTGGTTTAGTTATTTTTGGAATGACTAATGAGTTCTGCTTTTTTCAAAGAAAGGTCTCAGAGCCAGCTTATAGTAAGTGTAGCAAATCCTGTATACTGACCTCAAAAACAGCTACTCCTTTCCCTAAGCTCTTAGATGCAGAAGGAAAGACTTATTGCTAATGGTAGAGCTCTGCGACATTAGTAAAGAAAACAACTCTTCCCCTAGAACTATACAACATTAGTATGGAAGTATGAACCACTAAGAACAGCTTTATTTAATTTAAACAATACAATTCTGGAAGATTGGATAAATGTTGTAAAGTAGGTGTTCAATAAGTGCTAGTTGAACTGGTATAATCGGGTCTCTGGCAAAAGTGACACACAAATGATGCTTTCTGTTGTTGATACTCAATGCACCTGCCTTAGGGAAAAACATATATATATGTGTCACCCTAAGGGGTCTGCATACTGGGATTTCCCTATTATCAACTGAAAATGGAGATAATAATAGGGTTGTTGCAAAGATGAAATGTGATAATGATTATAAAGTGCTTAGCGTAGTGCCTGGCACATAGTCAGCACTCAATCAGTATGAGATTGTCATTATTGTTGTTGTTGCTGCCGTTATTATTATTATTCAGGGAGATCAGGCCAACTGCCTCTTTTGCCTACAAAACACTGTGGCTTGTGTTACAATAACTGCTTGCCAGGCAACGTTACACATCAGTTTTGTAGCTGAATAAACAGTGACACCTTACTTATCCAGCTATATTTCTGTTGAATTTCTCTAAGTCAGCACTGTGCAAAAGAAATATAATGTGAGTCACATATGTAATTTTTAATTCTAATAGCCACAGTAAAACATAAAAAGAAACTGGTAGAATTAATTTTAATTTTATATATATATATATATATCCAAAATCATTTAACATGTACTCAATATAAAAATTAATAATATGCTGATTTACATTTTTTTACTAAATCTTTGAAATCCTCTGTTTATTTTACACTTGCAGCCCATCTCAATTCAGACCAGTCACATTTCAAGTGCCCATTAGCTACATGGGGCTATTGCTACCATATTAAATAGTGTAGTTCTAAGAACCCTCTTCGTCTCCTGTGCAATATTTTTACTCCAATTACATCAAAATGGAAATGAATAGTGGCTATGTAGAAGAGCAAAAACTAAAAGCACTCCTCCATGTACAGTTATTACACATTTTAATTTCTGATTGTTTTTCAATCAGGGCTAATAGCTGTGTCGGTGGCCGTGCGGCTTACCTTTGAAGACAGAGTCCACTCTTCTGGCAAATTGTTGTTGCAACCATCGCTAATACTTTTCTGGAGTTTCTCTGATCCCATCCATCCTCAGGTATTTAAGGAGAGTCATCCATATAGCCTAAAAATTGCAAATACTACTTTCATGTATGTCTTTAGCAGTTTTAATTACAAAATACTTTACAATCACTTAATTAATATCATAAACCTTCATTAATTTAGATTTTCTTCAACTCAGATTTGTCATAATTCAGTTTGAGCAAAAGTAAAGTTTACGCTTTGTCTACTGAAAGGCTAACAAATCAAAATGTTATTTTCAGAAAAGATGGTAAAAGGAAGTTTTAACTTATTTTAAAAAACACACTCTTTTATGGCCTTTATTTAAATACTCATTATTCAAGTTTCATTTTATGTGAATTTCCTCAATTCCAAGAATCTGTAAGGATCATCAAGTAGGCAATGGCAATGAGTGAAGATGACTGCGTGTGAGGCAATGGGGAGTGGTGGAGACTGTGGCCAAATGGAGAGTGCACGGCCCATCTGTGGGGACAACCACTCGTCAGCAGTTTTTGTTGTCAGATGATCCCACTTGTCAAGAGAATTCAGAAACCTGGAATTTTGGATAAAATCATCCTATTTTTAAATAACTCAACTAAAACCAAATCAAAACACACACACAAAAAACCCCACTCAAACCAAAACAAAATACACAGCAATCCAAATAAATCAAGGCTGAAGTCTGATTTTCTCCACAGGGTTCCAGTTTCCAGCATTCTTCTTGGGGTAGGAGGGTACTTTATAGTGTTAGATTAAGTTATTCAGTGTACTTAAATATAATACCATTTTGTCTCTATAAAACAAACAAACAAACCCAAACCCACTGCCATCGAGTCGATTCCAACTCATAGTGACCCTATAGGACAGAGTAGAACTGCCCCATAAGGTTTCCAAGGCTGCAAATCTTTATGGAAGCAGACTGCCACATCTTTCTCCTTCTAAGTGTCTGGTGGGTTTGAACTGCTGACCTTTTGGTTAGCAGCAAAACACTTTTACCACTGTGCCACCAGGGCTCCTTGTTTCTATAAAGCATTCCATACTTAAGACTTTTCCCTAATAAACCCTAGCTCCCCTTCTTCCTTTTTCCCTTATTGCTGTTGTTGTTAGTTGCCTTCGAGTTGATTCTGATTCATGGTGACCCCAATTCTTCCCTAACTGGTCTGAATTAGGGCAGTTTTTCCCCATGCATCTGTCAGTTTGTCGCACTGTGGGGGCTTGTGTGTTGCTGTGACGCTGGAAGATACGTCACTGGTATTCGAATACCAGGAGGGTCACCCGTGGTGAACAGGTGTCAGCTGAACTTTTAGACTAAGACAGACTAGACTAGGAAGAAAGACCTTGTGGTCTACTTCTGAAAAGTGAAAACCCTATGAATAGCAGCAATACATGTGCTGGAAGATGAGCCCCTCAGGTTGGAAGGCACTCAAAATACGACTGGGGAAGAGCTGCCTCCTCAGAGTAGAGTCGACCTTAATGACGTGGATAGAGTTAAGCTTTCAGGACCATCATTTGCTGATGTGGCATGACTCAGAATGAGACGAAACAGCTGCAAACATCCATTAATAATCGGAAAGTGGAATGTATGAAGTATGAATCTAGAAAAATTGGAAATCATCAAAGAAGAAATGGAATGCATAAACATAGATATCTTAGGCATTAGTGAGCTGAAGTGGACTAGTATTGGCCATTTTGAATTGGACAATCATATGGTCTGCTATGCAGGGAATTACAACTTGAAGAGGAATGGTGTTCCATTCATCATCAAAAAGAACATTTCAAGATCTATCCTGAAGTACAGTGCTGTCGGTGGTAGAATAATATCCATATGCCTACACGGAAGACCAGTTAATACGACTATTATTCAAATTTCACACCAATCACTAAGGCCAAAGTTGAAGAAATGGAAGATTTTTACCAACTTCTGCAGTCTGAAATTGATTGAACATGCAATCAGGATATGTTGACAATTACTGGTGATTGGAATGCAAAAGTTGGAAACGAAGAAGGATAAGAAGTTGGAAAATATGGCCTTGGTAATAGAAATGATGTTGGAGATTGCATGATAGAATTTTGCAAGACCAATGACTTCTTTATTGCAAATACCTTTTTTCAACAACATAAACGGCAACTATACACATGGACCTCGCCAGAAGGAATACACAGTAATCAAATCGACTACATCTGTGGAAAGAGACAATGGAAAAGCTCAATATCATCAGTCAGAACAAGGCCAGGGACCAAATGCAGAAAAAAAACATCAATTGCTCATATGCAGGTTCAAGTTGAAACTGAAGAAAATTAGAACAAGTCCACGAGAGCCAAAGTATGACCTTGAGCATATCCCACCTGAATTTAGAGATCATCTCAAGAATAGATTTCATGTATTAAACACTAATGACCAAAGACCAGATGAGTTGTGGAATGACATCAAGGACATCATACATGAAGAAAGCAAAAAGTCATCAAAAAGACAGGAAAGAAAGAAAATACCAAAATGGATGTCAGAAGAGACTCTGACACTTGTTCTTGAACATTGACTAGCTAAAACAAATGGAAGAAATGATGAAGTAAAAGAGCTGAACAGAAGCTTAAGATGACAAAGTAAATATCATAACGACATGTGCAAAAAGCTGGAGGTAGAAAACCAAAAGGGAAGAACACGCTCGACATTTCTCAAGCTGAAAGAACTGAAGAAAAAACTCAAGCCTGGAGTTGCAATATTGAAGGATTCTCTGCGGAAATATTAAATGACACAGGAAACATCAAAAGAAGATGGAAGGAATACACACAGTCACTGTACCAAAAAGAATTGGTCGACATTCAACCATTTCAGGAGGTAGCATATGATCAGGAACCAATGATACTGAAGGAAGAAGTCCAAGCTGCACTGAAGGCATTGGCGAAAAATAAGACTTCAGGAACTGACAGAATATCAACTGAGATGTTTCAACAAACGCATGCAGCACTGGAAGTGCTCACTCATCTATGCCATGAAATTTGGAAGACAGCTACTGGCCAACTGACTGGAAGAGGTCCATATTTGTGCCTGTTCCCAAGAAAGGTGATCCAACAGAATGTGGAAATTATCGAACATTATCATTAGTATTACACACAAGTAAAATTTTACTGAAGATCATTCGAAAGTGGCTACAGCAGTATATCGATAGGGAACTGCCAGAAATTCAAGCCGGATTCAGAAGAGGACATGGAACCAGGGATATCATTGCTTATGTCAGATGGATCCTGACCAAAAGCAGAGAATACCAGAAAGATGTTTACCTATGTTCTATTGACTATGCAAAGGCATTTGACTCCGTGGATCATAACAAATTATGGATAACATGAAGAATGGGAATTCCAGAACACTTAATTGTGCTCATAAGGAACTTGTACATAGATCAAGAAGCAGTCATTCAAACAGAACAAGGGGATACTGTGTGGTTTCAAATCAAAAAAGGTGTGCATCAGGGTTGTATCCTTTCACCATACCTATTCAATCTGTATGCTGAGCAAATAATCTGAGCAGCTGGACTATATGAAGAAGAACGGGGCATCAGGATTGAAGGAAGACTCCTTAACAACCTGAGTTATGCAGATGACACAACTTGCTTGCTGAAAGTGAAGAGGACTTGAAGCACTTACAGAAGAAGATCGAAGACCACAGCCTTCAGTATGGATTACACCTCAACATAAAGAAAACAAAAATCCTCACAGTTGGACCAATAAGCAACATCATGGTAAACAGAGAAAAGATTGAGGTTGTCAAGGATTTCATTTTACTTGGATCCACAATCAACACCCATGGAAGCAGCAGTCAAGAAATCAAACAATGCATTGCATTGGGAAAATCTGCTGCAAAACACCTCTTTAAAGTGTTAAAAAGCAAAGATGGCACCTTAAAGACTAAGGTGCCCCTAATCCAAGCCATGGTGTTTTCAATTGCCTCATATACATGTGAAAGCTGGACAATGAATAAGGAAGACCAAAGAAGAATTGATATCTTTGGTGCTGGTTGAATGGACACAGACGATCCGGGGTGGAAAGGAGGGATGTGCTTCACATTACAGAGAGAGCAGGTAGGGTCACATAGCAATGTGTGTATAAATTTTTGTATGAGAAACTGACTTGAACTGTAAACTTTCATTTAAAGTACAATTAAAAAAAAAAAAAGAATTGACGCCTTTGGATTGTGGTGTTGGCAAAGAATATTGAATATACCATGGATTGCCAAAAGAATGAATAAATCTGTCCTGAAAGAAGTACAGCCAGAATGCTCCTTAGAAGCAAGAATGGCAAGACTATGTCTCACATATTTTGGACATGTTATCAGGAGGGACCAGTGCCTGGAGAAGGACATCATGCTTGGTAAAGTAGAGGGTTAGTGAAGAAGAGGAAGACCCTCAATGAGATGGATTGACACAGTGGCCGCAACAATGGGCTCAAGCATAGCAGTGATTGTGAGGACGGCCCAGGACTGGGCAGGGTTTTGTTCTGTTGTGCATAGGGTTGCTATGAGTCAGAACCGACTGGATGGCACCTAACAACAACATCAAGGCAGTTTTACTGTAATAGATTCTAGATAGTTAAAATATTATAGATCCAGAGATAAAAATAATAGATTCTCTAGCACTTTCTTGTTGGCCTTCTTGCCAGAAAAATGGCACCATTCTCTCTCGGGGATTTTCTAACTTTCTGCCATGTAGAACTACTCTCCACGCCACACCATGGACATGTGACTAATTTCCAGATAGTTAGGAAAAGGAAAGAGAGACCCTCCTTTTCTCTCTTTTGAAGAGTAGCTTTGAAGAGAAAAGCAAATAATTCTTTAAAGACATAACGCAAATCATTTATTTTGTCTTTGTTCTAATCAAAACTATGTGACAATATGAAAAGGTTTTGTTTTCAAAAATAAAGATTTCTCTAGAATCCACAGAGTACCAAATAAACCAAAATAATTTACCTCAATTCCAGTTTGAAGAACAGTTAGGTCAGCAGTAGAAAACAAATGGACTACTGGGCTCTTTTTTTTGTTTTTGTTTTTGTTTTGTTTTGACACTTTGTTTAAAGAGGAGCAGTAACTATGCAGGTGTTCTGCTCTGTGGTACCCATAGCAGCATAGGTGCTAACTATTGTTTATATACCTGTTTCTTCACACTTGTGCATTTTCTCCAGGGTCCTCTCTCTACCCTCCAGGCAGATGAGTTTGTTTACCTTCTGAGTTATGTATTATTTTAAAATTTGAAATGCTATCACTGGCAATGACTCCGTCTTCTCTCATTTGACATATTTTGCTTTTGAGTGCCCACTATGTTCCAGGCTAGGGGTACAGCAGAGAACAAAACAGATAAATATCACAGAGCTTATATTCTATATCTTTCAGAAACACTAATCTCATAATTTTGTTTGTCTGTCTATAAAAAATTAGAACATCCCCTAATAGTGACGAACCCTTTGCCTTCCGTGGAAGGTGGAGAAGGGGGAGACCTAGAATATGTACTCTCATACACATGGCCAATATCCATAATACAATTCAACTGAAGTAGCTTCTAACCCAGAGGTTGAAGTCTGGAAATGAACTCTATGTGCACATTTCTTTTAAATAGCTAGGAAAATTAGACTTTTGAGTGTCTTAATATTATCTTCTAGTCATGATATTAACAGGAGATAGCCTGACATGTGTAAGGTTTTTTCATTCTTTCTTGAATTTGTGGGGTTTGCTTTAGTTAATGCTGGAGAGCCCAGATGACATCTTCTGCTTCGAGTTCTGTCCCAGTGACCCTAATATCATTGCTGGAGGCTGTATAAATGGACAGGTACTTGTGGATTTTATTTCAGCTATTTATTAATTCAGATAACATTCTATAATAAATTTTGATTGGTAGTTTTTTGAACTTAAGGATTCAATTCAGCAGAAGAAAGGAGCACAGCCTTTATTTGCCAGTCACCACGCCAGGCACTAGGGTATAAATCTGTGTTAGACATGATATCAGTGCTGGAGATTTGACCTGGTTGTGTGTTTTCAGCATAACTGAAAACACACAACCAGGTCAAATCTATTTGTGTTGCTGGGCTAGAACCACACATTTGTATAAGATTACATGGGAAGAACAAAAACCACAGTATTAATATCTCTTGGGCAAGAGGGTCAAGAGGCCTCATCTAAAATTTGCCTGGGGGTAGAGGTTAGGGGATGATTCAGAACTTAAATAGAAATTAACTGGAAAACATGACATAAAACATAGCTATATCATTGTGGTGCAGTGGTTAAGAGCTTGGCTGTTAACCGAAAGGTCAGCAGTTCAAATCCGCCAGCTGCTCCTTGGAAATTCTATGGGGCAGTTCTACTCTGTCCTATGGGGTCACTATGAGTTGGAATTGACTCAATGGCAATGATTTTTTTTTAATTATATATACTAATACTTCTTAAGTTTAGAGATAAAATCTTAGACTAAACTGAAGGAGGCATAGACATAAACACAGATAAACCAGTTGCCATCGAGTCAATTCTGACTCATGGCTTCCCTACGTGTGTAGAATGGTGCGTCATAGGATCTTCAATGGCTGATTTTTGAACTGGGCATTTGAGCTTAGTTCTGGAGAACAGGCTGTTTCCCACTAGGTCTAAAGCAGTTGTCTCCACAGTCATGGCACATTCCCAAAGACGGAGAAAGAACTCTTCTAAAAGCAGAGACTTCATTCAGAAATTACATGATATTTTTCTTGGACTTTAAAAAAATCTAGCGTCTACTAATACAAGCACAAAAATTAAAGTGCTGAAACTACTTTAATAGTAAAGAAAACTTTTTTTTTTTCTATTAGCTTTAAAAGTTGCATTGTAGTAGCTGACTTACTTAAGATGTAGGCTAAATTTATTATCCTTCAAGGTGGCTGATTTATCAGGCTGCATAACAGTAGTTTTTGTTTTTTAAATCATTAATATTCAATTAGCTATTTCCTGAAAATATGTTGTAATCACATTTATTTTTGTTTTAGATCGTCTTGTGGGATATAACAGCCCATGCAGATCGCATAGAAAACATTAAGACAGGTGTTAGTAGAAGTAAAAAAGCTACACTCAAGGTTAGCTTTCTATAACTTTTTACTTGCAAGTTTTTTCCATTCAAGAATTTATCAAAAAGTGCAAAACATAGTTACCAAGATTAAAAAAGACTTAATGGTGGGGGAGGGGGAGGTGTTTTTTCTAAGCTTTTGCATCTGCTCGTGGACATGTTCTGAGTCTCTTTTATGAGGGCTCTTGATTACAACACAACAAAACAAATTACATCATCTGTCTCAGCAAGTTATTTATTTATTTATTGTTTATTTTTTAATAAAATGAAGGGACCAAGTGACTTGCCTAAACTTACGCAGTTGAAAGGGCATTTACTTAGTCCTGTGAGTTTGGACATGTCACCTGACCTCAGCAGAAATCGTTTCTTTTGTGTATAAAGTCAAGGGGTCACAATCCTTTCTGATAATAAAGTACTATAATTTTTGTGAAGTTAAATGTTCTGTTAGGAGGATTGGAAAAAAATTCTTCAACTCCCAACTAAGTACTTACCCATCATATTGCACACCCACCCCCCAGGCTTAGCATCAACAGATCTTCTACCAAGGAACAGTAGGGATGCAGCCCTCAGTGTGCAGCAAAGAAATACTCCTTTCAAAAAATGAGATGTCTCATTGATTCTTAGGGAGTGGATCAATAACACTTCTTAAATTTAGAGATAAATTCTTAGACTAAACTGAAGGGGAGAATAGATAATCCTGCTACCTCAATACATAGTACATAGAAACACTAATTTATGTTTTTCCTTGAACTAGTATCTCTCCAAGTTATTAGTTTTATAATGTGTATTAGTTTCCTAGGGCTGCCACAACAAATTACCACAAACTGGGTGGCTTAAAACAAGAGGAATTTATTCTCTCACAGTTCTGGAGGCCAGAAGTCCAAAATCAAGGTGTTAGCAGGGCCATGCTCTCTCTGAAGGTTCTAGGAGAGGATCCTTCCTTGCCTCTTCCTAGCTTCTGGTGGTTTGCCAGCAATCCCTGGCATTCCTTAGCTTGAAGCTGCATCACTTCAATCTCTGCCTCTGTCTTCACATGGCCTTCCTTTGGTGCAGTGGTTAAGAGCTTGGCTGCTAACCGAAAGGTCAGCAGTTCAAATCTACCAGCTGCTCCTTGGAAATTCTATGGGGCAGTTCTACTCTGTCCTATGGGGTCACTATGAGTTGGAATTGACTCAATGGCAATGATTTTTTTTTTTTTATTATATATATCTAATACTCCTTAAGTTTAGAGATAAAATCTTAGACTAAACTGAAGGAGGCATAGACATAAACACAGATAAACCAGTTGCCCTTGCTCTGTATGTGTATGTCTCTTCTCTTCTTCTTACAAAGACACCGGTCACTTTTGATTAGGGCCGATCCTAATCCTGTATGACCTCATCTTTACTGGATTACATCTGCAGAGTCACTACTTCCAAATGAGGTCACTTCACAAGTAGTAGGGGTTATGACTTTAACATATCTTTGTTTGAGGGGGACACAGTTCAATCCATAACAACAGGTATAATGAATAAAGTATCAGTTTATTTATTAGCTCTCTCAAATTAGCACCTAACTTTCTTTTACCATTCTTCCAGCCCATGTTTCTCCTTGAACCAGAGAGTAATAAAGAAGCAATGTATATCAGACACTGTGCTGTCTCTTCAATAGAAAATGGCCATAAGAAAGTAATTACAGATATACATTGGCTGTCTGACACATTTGAAGTGAGTATTGATGGCTTAACACTTCTTCTTCCTGGATTGTAATTTTCCAGAAGATTTTATACAAAAAGAATGTTTCAAGTCAGAAATTCACTTACATGCCAAATCAACATCTGACTTGCGGATAAGAATAAAGACAATCTTTCAGCATTGATTGTTTATAACCACTAAAAAAAAATGATGGATTCAAAATCGTTGCAATACAATAATGAAGAAGATGGGGATTTTATATGTAAAAATGAAATGCAAATATATTACACCCTTAGCATTTGTGAATTTAAAATATATGATTTCAGCTATTTGGGGGCAGGCTTGAAGATTAGTCATACAAATAATGTGTACTTTTCCTGAAGCACCATCTTGAATTGAGTGTGCTCTGAGGCTGGTGGGTGAAAACTGTTTAACAAGTGAGTGAGCCTACCTGACTGCCCAGTGTCTGCATTTCAGTTTGACCTCGTGGTTCTGTACCTGACTATAACCTCACAGAATATGGTGTTTGTGAATGTGGGAACTAGTAAAGCTCCCCAAATGTTTCCTTCAAGGATACCAAGGGTCTACACTATGTACTTTGAAGAATTAACTGATGAGAATATCAAAAAATTAGAGTTACGAGAGGTGATTAGCACTTCCAAATATTCAAATGTATTATGTGAAGCAACAATAATTTTTAAAGTAGTAATATATCATAATAAACATAGTTTCTGTTATCTGTAAGATTTAACATGATAGTGGAAGTATCACAATACAAGAGAAGGAACTCCATTTCAACTAGTAACTCACACCATACAAAAAAATTAATTCTACATGGATTATAAATTTAAAAAATTGAATTATAGAAAAAATACAGCAAATCAGAATAGAATGTCAGATTTCTGGAATAGGGCTAGTTTTCTAAGCTTATTATGTTGAAAGACGTCACAAAAGAAGAGGTTAACAGTTGCAAAACACACATATGTAAATTTCTAAATTAAAAGGTAAAGGGCAGTAACAAAATACAAGAAGATATTTGTACTGAATATGATAAATATAAAAATTTCCATGTAAATGGCCTAAATGCACCCATAAAGAGACAGAGAGTGACAGAATGGATTAAAAAAACAGGATCTATCAATACGCTGTCTACAAGACACACACCTTAGAAAGAAAGATGTAAATTTATTAAAAATCAAAGGATGGAAAAAAAATTTCCAATAAATAAGCAAAAGACATATACTAAATAAAAACAATTAGTGAAATCAATATGAAAAACAATTAGTAGATCAATTCAGCCTTTCTAATAGCAAAAAAAATTAATACTAAAGCAACAATAATGTACTGTTTTTGGCTTATTTGATTTTTAAATAATACCCTGTGTTAGAAAAGATAAGGTGGTGAAACTGGTAAATTCTAGCATTGCCGGTTGCAGTGTAAAACTGGTTTAAAATTTTGGAATGCAATTAATCAGTGTGGTTCTTGAATAATACAAATTTTCAAACTTTTTGATCAGTAATTCCAATTTCTTGAATTCATACTCAGAAATAATCCAATGTATATCTCAAGATACAAAATTACGTGCACGCCTTTTAAAAAATCACGTCCAAGTCTATCCATGACAGAAAATAGGCAAAGAATACAAGGTAGAATTATATATGATTTTAAGACCTTCCATTTACTAAGCCTTCTATTTGGTACAAATATGTTTTTTCAGAAATCATTTCAAACACACATGCCACCCCCACTCTACTACCCTTCCACCCCTGATTTCCACAGCAGTGGAGAATCCCCAGCCCTATGTGTTTTCCATAGATGGATGTCTTGACCCAACCAGGAACCCGAGAGCAAGCGTCTCTCGGAGTCTCCCACTTCACACAGCAGGAAAGCCTCAGTAGAGAGAGAGGCAGTGTGGGTTCTGAGGTTGCTTATCAGATAGGAGTGGAAGTTGCCAGCCCCTACCCTGGTCTGAAATGGTTCAGGCTGCAGTGGTGTCAGCCATGTTTTGTGGTTGCCTAGCTCCTGTGACACCCGACAGCCTCACCAGTGCCCCTATTCTCATCCTTCCTCCCAGTCCTACCTGAACTCCTTTTGCTGCTGGAAGTCCCACCTTTGTTTACTACTATGCTCATCAGCCCTATCAGGAGGGTGGAGAAGTGAAGAGGAGCATGTTTCCTGATGATTCGAGAGTGATGCCTTCATAGACAGGTTACCACAAAAACTTTCAGGTCATTTGAAAGCTGGTTGATTGGAATTTTAGTACCCTGGGTGGTGCAAATGGGTAAGCACTTGACTAGTAGCCAAAAGGTTGGTGGTTTGAACCCACTCAGAGGTGCCTTGGAAGATAGGTCTGACCTTGAAAATCCTATGGAGCACAGTTCTACTCAGCACACAGAGGGTTGCCATGAGTTGGAATAGACTTGATGGCAACAGGTTTGGTTTTTTTTTTTTTTTTTTTTTTTGGTACCCTAAAGGAGTCTTAAACCCTCCTGCAAATCCCATGTGTGCTTGTGGAGGTCTGCTGCTAATTCCTCAAAAACACAGTAGGCACTGGCAACTGCACACCACTGGTATCTTATTTAACACTAAGCCTCTTTTCAGTTGACCTTTCCTGCTTAACAATCTCATGAAAGTTCCTATGTTTGGCTCCACAATTAATAGTGCAAAACTGAAAGAACTTACATGTCTAATAATAATGGATAGTTAAATTATGGTACAACATCTACTATAAAAAACATTATAAAACTATTTAAATGATTCAATGTTCAAATTATGTTAAGTGAAAAATCTCAGGATAAAAAATTATATACATTCTAATTAAAACTATGTAAAAGTGTTTCTATGAAAAAAGATGGGAAAAGAATATATGGCAGAATTATATTTGATTTTATAATTTTGTGCAAACTTCTGTGATAATGTTATGTTCTTTTTATAAAAATTAAAACAAAAAAGAAAAAATTTAAAAGATAAAAAGCACATAAAGCTATGAGAAAAAAATCACTGCTGTTTTAGATACACATTTATTTGTTATAATTACTTTTTTAAAATAGATTAACAGGATGGGTTCTGTCTTTGAGAATCGAAGTGAAATATGCTGCCAACTTGTGACATGTTCAGCAGATTGGTATGTTTTATTGTAAGCATTTTATAATATGTATTCATATAATATATTCTTTTTTCTTACATGTTCCTAAAATCATTGTCTTCTGTTCCTTAAGTAATCTTTATTGTAGCAAATAAACTTAATATAACTAAAGGACAGAAGTTATAGATTGTTGCTACTTTAAAAAAATCTTTTTATAAGTATAAATATATTATAAAAAGAAAAGTCCAACCGACACCCATTCCTGATGAAAACTCTCAATAAAATAGGTATAGAAGGGAAATTCCTCAACATAATAAAGGGCATCTATACAAAACCAAAACAACCAACATCATTCTTAATGGAGAGAGGCTGAAAACATTTGCCTTGAAAACCAGAACAAGACAAGGATGCCCTTTATCACCACTCCTATTTAACATTGTGGTAGAAGTCCTAGCTAGAGCAATAAGGCAAGAAAAAGAAAGAAAGAGCATCCAAATTTGTAAATGAAGAAGTTAAACTGTCCCTATTTGCGGATGATATGATACTATACATAGAAAACCCAAAAGACTCCACAAGAAAGCTACTGGAACTAATAGATTCAGCAGAGTAGCAGGCTACAAGATAAACATCCAAAAATCAATTGGATTACTATAGACTAATAAAGAGAATGACAAAAAGAAAATCAGGAAAACAATACCATTTATTCTAGCCTCTAAAAAAATTAAATACTGAGGAACGAATCTAACAGGGATGTAAAAGACCTATACAAAGAAAACTGCAAAACACTACTACAAGAAACCAAAAGAGATCTATAGAAATGGAAAAACATACCATGCTCATGAATAGGTAAACTTAACATTGTGAAAGTATCAATTCTACTCAAAGCAATCTACCAATACAATGCAATCCCAGTCCAAATACCAACAGTATTTTTTAAAGAGATGGAAAAACTAATCATTAACTTTATATGGAAAGGGAAGAGGCCCTGGATAAGTAAAACACTATTGAAGAAGAAGAATAAAGTAGGAGGACTTGCACTACCTGACCTCAGAACCTACTCTACAGCTACGGTAGTCAAAACAGCCTGGTACTGGTACAACAACAGACACATTGACCAATGGAACAGAATTGAGAACCTAGATGTAAATCCATCCACCTACTGTCACCTAATCTTCGACTAGGGCCCAAAGTCCATCAAATGGGGATTAGATAGTCTTTTTAACAAATGGTGCTGGCAAACTGGTTGTCCATCTGCAAAAAAATGAAACAGGACCCATACCTCACATCATACACAAAAACTAATTCAAAATGGATCAAAGACCTAAGTATAAAACCAAAAACTATAAAGATCATAGAAGAAAAACAGAATCATAGCTAAAGGCCCTAATACATGACATTAACAGGATACAAACCATAACTAACCACACACAAACTCCAGAAGATAAACTAGATAACTGAGATCTTCTAAAAATTAAACACTTATGCTCATCAAAAGACTTTACCAAAAAAGTAAAAAGAGAACCTACAGAATGGGAAAAATTTTTTGGCTATGACAAATCAGATGAAGGTCTAATCTCTAAAATCTGCAGGAAAATCCAACATCTCTACAACAAAAAGACAAATAATCCATTTAAAAAATGGGCAAAGGAAATGAACAGACACTTCACCAAAGAAGACATTTAAGCAGCTAACAGACACATGAGGAAATGCTCGCGATCACTAGCCATCAGAGAAATGCAAATCAAAATCACAATGAGATACCATCTCACCCTGGCATTACTGGCACTAATCAAAAAAACAGAAATAATAAATGTTGGAGAGGCTGCGGGGAGATTGGAACTCTTATGCACTGCTGGTGGGAATGCAAAATGGCACAACCATTTTGGAAAACAATATGGCGCTTCCTTAGAAAGCTAGAAATAGAAATACCATACGATCCAGCAATCCCACTCCTAGGAATATATCCTAGAGAAATAAGAGCCATCACACGAATAGACATTTG